ACATATTTGAAATTCAAATTTTAATACATATAAAATTTTTTCATCTCAAAAATTGCACTCAAAAAAAAAAAAACAATTGTATTCACAAAAGACATCCCAATAACTAAAGTTCAAATTTTAATTTGAAGACTAATTTTATGTTAATTTGAACGTTTAAAAATAAAATAAAATAAAAATATATAAATAAAAAGTTAGATTCCAGAAATTACTAACAGAGTAGAGAACGAGATGAGAGAATTTCTTCAATCATTGGTAAGAAGACCAAAAAAGAGAAACAAGAAACTAAAAAAGGCAAATTTAATTGGTAGCTCTGAAAGACAAAGCTCATTTGAGACTTCACATGTTTAATTTTTTTTTTTTATATTTTTCTAGGCAAGCTGCTTAATTTCATGATTTATAGTTAACATTTGCTCTTGCAGTACATAAACTGTCGTACAAACTTTTGTACTGCAAGCACGCTCCTAAACTGTGATTAACGTTTTAGACAGAGCTGATTCAGCTTTCAAAATAATATTCAAATTAAACATTATGTTTATATATATAATCTTCTTGCTTTTAAATTGAATGTTCACTTTGTTTTTTTTTTTTTCTAAAATCAAATAAAAATTACAATCATATTTGACCATAATTTTTATGATATCATTTGTAATTAAAATTTCAAAAAATAAGATTCAAAAGTTTTGAGTTAATTTAAGATTTTTCAAAATTTAATTTTTTGAAATTTTAATTACAAATAAAATTATAATAAATAATTATCAATGTTGCTTTTGTTTAATAAAGAAAAAAAAGGTGAAATGGCATTCAATTTGAATAAAAAAAGTTATTATTTTTAGAAATTCTCCTTTTATTTTCTGAGTAAATTGCACTATTAGCTTACGATTTTTCAAAATATTTTATATTAACTTGTAATTTAAAATATTATTTTTTTCTACACTTCATTGTTTATATTTGTCAATATACATTATTAGAATATAGATTATAATGAATATGCCTATATTGAAAGAATTTTAAAAAATCACAAATGAAACGTATCGTTTTAGATTATCATGATAGTAATTTCAGACACAAATGAAAAATGATAACATTGTAATTGAAGGAATCAAATCCCTTAAACATATAGCTGATATTCAAGAAACTGAAAAAAAATTATCTCTCTAATTTAAGACCAACTTTAGTAAACATTCAAGGAAATATCCTACAATTATTGCTTGTAGTTCACTAGGAGCATTACACTTACAATTATTTATGCTACAATCTTATAATTAATTAATCACAATAAAAAATTATATAAGGGGTTTACTAATTAAAATATGAATTTTAAAATTTTTTAAATGCTGTATAACATTAAATTTGATTATTTAATTATATTATAATAATTATAAGTGGATATAATTCCGTGATTCACCAAGGTATGGGCCAATACGAAAGTATATATAATTAGCAGTGATTTATTCTTATTTTTTCCCAACAATCTGTTTCATCTTGGCAGCCCATGTTACTTTTAATGATCCATTGGGTGATTAAAAAACCTAGAAGTGGTTGGACAGAAACCTCGCATGATTAAAAAGTGAAAATCACGTGGCACCATAAACATCCAAGTGGATATTTAGTATGTTTTGCTCGGCGTTTGATGTAGACAGCATCTCTACTGAAGATTTGGTTGCCAAATCAGCTCTAATAAATTAAAAATACTCCGGTTTTAATAGATTAGTTTATGTGACATTGATCTGCATTTTTTTATCACCTACCTAATCCTGGACTACTATGGATCTAAATCCAAGTTGAAGCACTACATGTAAAATGTGGTGATCCATAATTTTTTTAACAAGCATAATTTTATAATTTTTTTTGGTGCTTGCTTTTTGAACCAACGACTATTGGATCACTGGAGTCGTCAGCAATTCCATTTCCTTGCCGATTGATATCCTTACCTACTCTACCGTCGGTGTTTATAATATGTAAATATTCGTGCAGGTTGGCCCATTTACGGCAAAATATCTAGCCAAATCATCTTCCATTGTACAAACTAAGCTCGTTCGAAAAAGTTTTTTGACATTCAATGAGTTTTAAATTTATTTTAATAATAGGTTGCGATATTATTCAATCAGATTTTAATTATAAAATTGAATTTTTAAAATTTAAAGTCCAAAAATGTTTTATAATTTATTTATATTATTTTCTTTTTATTTTATTTATATTTTGTTATTTGGTAAAAAAAATTAATTTTGATGATTTAAAGATTGTGATTTTATTTAGTTTTGAAATTAAAAAGTTAATTTGATTTTGAGTAATTTTAGGATTCAAGTTTTACAAAAAAAAAAAAAATTGACAGGATTTGGATAGATTCAATTGACATTTTAAAATTTTTTAAATTAAAAAGGGATTTAATCCCTTTATAAAGAACTTAATTCCAAGCTGAGAAATATATGAAGAAATAATACAATTAACAATTATTAAATGACAGTTTTGAGTGAGAATTCTCGAGTAGAGGGAGAAGGAAAATCAATAAGTAATTGGAGACTAAAATCACAAAAACAATCAACAATTTAGTAAGGTAACAATCAATTGAGCAATAAAAAACAATCAAGAAGAATCACAAAGAAAAAAAAAGGACGATACACGTAATATTAAAGCAAATAGAGGCAAGCGAAATTTTTCTTTAGCAAGTAAGGATTTATTTCAGGTTGATCCCAACATAATGGTTAGGTATAATTTTTTTTATTTTGTTATGATATTATATTTATGTTTTGTCTAACATGGCTTTGGATAATATTTATTATAATAATTCTTTTATGAAATTAATAAAAGAGAAAAAAAATCTTCTCCCAAGATTTTTTTTCAATAAAGGTATTCATATTTAATATAATAAATAGCCATATTTCATATTCCCTTCACAAAAAGAAAACATTCATTTGTTACCCTTTTTGAGCCGATTAAATTTTTTTTGAAAAACCCTAATTAATGATTACCTTCCACAGTGGAGGGCAAGTATGAGTAATGATCTATTTGAAAAAATATTGGATCCAATGTTAAGGATAAGGAAAGAATGCCTATAATCAAAAGGCAATCTTATAGTAAACAAAGTTCCAAAATTTTGAGCTTAATTTGCCAAAAGTGAAAGCATGCAAGAAAAAAATGAAAAATGAATGAAAATGAACAAAATATTGAAAAAAGAAAAAAATGAAAATGTATGTTATGAGAAATGGAAATGACAAATGACCTTAAAAAAAGAAAAGATATTTGGTTTGATTACTTTTAAACACATTTTAAGCCAATTTATCTTTTTTTTTAGAAACGAACCCTGGCCTTTGAAAAATCATTTGATCAAATTTAGATATCTAAATTGAAGAAATTTTCTTAGGAGAGATCCATCATTTTTTAATTTGGGATAAATTTTGAATTTTCCAAATGTATAAATTGAAAAGTCAAAAGGAAAAATGAAAAAATGAACCTCGAGGGTGAAAACTTGCAAAGGCAATTTAGAGTAATTGAAAATTTGAAAATAACTCATGCAATTTACATGCAAAGCAAAAAACAGTAAATGAAAGCATTTTGAAATAACGAAGAACAATTAGAAAACCTTTAAAAACCCAAAAAGATCAACCTAGTTTAAATTTATTCTAAAATTTTAGCATTTCTTTTTTTCTGAAATTTGAATCTATCAATAACTAATCCTTTAACATTTGGTTAAAATGTCAGCATATTAAGAATTTAAGGGAGTGCCAAAAATGGATGTGCTTTAAAACAAATCTAGTTGAGTTTAATAATTATGGACAAATATTTAAAATGATTTAAGGTAAATTTGAAAATGTTGATCATCCAAATTCGAGTTTAATAATTATGACTAAAATATTTTAAATAATTTATGGTATTTGTCCCCAAATGTTGATCACTGAGGTATTGGTCAATGAGAACAAAATGTACATGATCAAGTTAATAGCCTAATTTAATACATTTTAACCATTATGTGAAATA